GGTGATATCTTTGATGTGATCTTGTATTCGGTTTGCAAGTGTTTTGTTGAGTATTTTTGCATCAATGTTCATAAGGGAGATTGGTCTGAAATTCTTTTTCTTTGTTGGGTCTTTGAGAGGTTTAAGTCCCAATGTGACTGTGGCTTCATAGAATGAGTTTAGTAGTGTTCCTTCTGTTTCTATTTTATGGAATAGTTTGAAGAAAACTGGAGTTAGCTCTTCTTTGAAAAAAAAAAGGCTATTCTTAAGGGTTATGAATTTTATTCTTTAGGAAGTCAAATATCAATATCAATTTCTAAAATAGAAGCCATTTTTGTCATTTATTTATGACTACCAGGTTAAAAGTTCCTTCAAAAATCTGGTTCCATGCAGGGCAACTAGAACAGATGACAAACATATGTGTAGTGTCATGTTTAATCTAAAAATAGTGGCAAGTATACATTGCTGAGTATTTTATGACCGTGGATGAATTGCTCAAAGCCCTCAGATTTAATAGTAGGAAAGTGGAGGGTCTCCATGAGCTTCCTATATCATGGATGCATATCCCAACCTTCTCCACCTAAGAGGAAAGTACCTTGAGGCATGGAGAAACATGCAAAGTGTCCAAGCATACCAAGGGACCGAAAGAACGTGAAGAGGAGAAGATTATCTAGACTGGAATCTTATTTGACTCAGTATCTGGGGGGAATCTCTTTGTGTGTCTTTTACCCTTTGCTTAACAGACCAAGATAAACATGGGTACCAAAAAGAGATGGTACAGATGTTTACTTTTCCTTACAGCTTCTTGGAATTCGAGACCAACATTATTCCTTCCACGTGATTATTAACCCATCACCTCTCCTGCCCCACATCTCTTTAGCTTCATTTCCTACTACAGCAACTCCTTGAAAACACACACATTGCATTAGTCAGTGATTTGATGAATCAATCAGGATTCATTTATTAACTGCTCCTAAAACGTCCTGTGTTAGATAGTATGAAGATCACTTATAATCCTTTTCAGTGTAGAATCAAGACTTTACATTCTTCAACAGAGTTCTGTTCAAGCCAAGTTCTGCTCGTTCATGTGGAAAATGAGACATCCTACTTGGAATATCCATACTTCTCTGGCAGTCCTCATCCTTCAAACACAGCTCAAAATTCAGTTCTTTTCCAGAAACTTTTATAGGTGCCTTAGGGTTTCTGTGGCTGTGATAAAACACCACGACCAAAGCATCATGGAGAGGAAAAGGTTTATTTCATCTTTAAGCTTGCAGTCCAACATCAGGGAAGTCAGAGCAGGAACTCAAGGTAGGAACTGATCCAGAGTTCAGTGAAGAGGCCATGAAGTAATGCTGCTAGCTGACTTGCTTTTTATGCCTTGTTCAGCCTGCTTTTTTAGAGTGCTCAAGACAACTGGCCCAGGATGACACCACCCACAATGAACTGGGCCCTCCCACCCCATTATCCATCAAGAAAATGCAACACAGGCTCACGCAAGGGCTAGTCTGGTAGGGGTATTTTCTCAATTGAGGTTTCCTCTTCCCAAATGACTCTGGCTTGTATTGAGTTGATATAGAACTAGCCAGAACAACTGACCCTTTGTCAACTTTACACATTAAGCACATCACTATTAAACTATAACCTTTCCTTTCTTGTTGTCCCCAAGATGTCATGCTAATACTGATAATAGAAAAATCATAACTTTTAAAAGACCTACAATCATTAAAAATGCAAACACTTTAGAAGTTCAGTATCTTTAAAATATCCAAAGTCTCTCTAAAAATTCCAAAATCTGTAAAGTTCCAAAAGTTTCTCTGAAATTCTAAAATCATGTTAAAAGTTCAAGATCTCTCAACCATGGACTTCTGTAAAAGTAAAAAAGTGAACATTTGAATAAGTAACACTTGAAAAAGTAACACTTGAATAAGTCCCAGCGCAAAAGTTTACCTAGGCAAAATTAATACTGTAAGGAGAAAGCACTGGGTAAAGTTTCTGATGGCTTCATTAAACTGAGAAAAAGTTGTTAGTGTTTCCAGAGCATCAAAGAAGTGTTGCACCAACATGTGTCCTCAACTGTTTAGGTTATACCCTTGGAAAAATGGAGAAATTTTGTGCTGGTCATTGTCTTTGGTACTATGAGGAGCCAGAGAAGTCCATGTGAATTTGTGTCTAAATAGCCAGACACCCCTCATCTCTAATCATGTGTTATAAGAGAACACCAGTCAGTAGAGGGGAAACTTCTGTATGTCCTAATAAAACAATTTGGAGTTGACTCTTTGGAGAACCAGATTTCTACAAAAGGGAAAGAAAACCACATCTCAGATTCACTGATTCAGTCTTGATTAACATGAAGATGAGGGCAGAAATTGGAAATACTTTGATATAATAAGAAACTACTGAGAGGCTGGTGAATTGGCTCATCAGGGAATCATGCTTGCTGTACAAGCTTGAAGGTCAGAATTCAATCCCTCACAGAAAAGCCTCTAGGAGGGATGTGATCTCAGCTCTCCTGCAGTGAGATGGGAGGAAGAGGCAGGAGAATTGCTGTGTCCTCCAGGGCCTCCTGCCACTCTCAAGTGTGCAGCAAAGCAGAAACAAGAAGACAAATGCTACCTCAACAAGGTAGGAGGGGAGAATGCGCTGCTGAATGTTGTCCTCTGACCCCTGTAAGGATGGTGTGGTACAGGAGCATATGTATTCTTTCCCTCTCTAGGGAGAGAGGAGGATATGGGAGGGGGCAGGGAGAGGAAAAGGGAGAGAGAGAGAGAGAGAGAGAGAGAGAGAGAGAGATATTTTCTTTAAAAAAGAAAGACTCTTGAGGTGATCTTGAGGCTTTGGATGTTCGTGTTAAAAGAGTACATTAGTGGACCGTTCAATGAGAAAAGCTGAAATAAGACACCATAGAAACTTCCACTGGAAGCTGATTTTAATTGAGGACAAAATTTTCATGCCAATATTAGCCCAGAGCTTCTTCCACAATAGCAGGCTGTTATCTGGTACAGACAGAGAAGTTAGAATACAAGCAGCGAGGGAAGCCCATGTTACTAAACTGTGGCCAGCAGGATGTGAGCAGAGGTCACTTGTAAACTTGGGAAAGTAATTTCAAAAGAAGAGAACACACAGCTTCTTCCTGTCTCCCTTCCTGAGATGTCAGAATAGTTGTTACAATCACTTAAACAGAGATCAGCTGTCTATTAAATAAGATTTTTTCAATGTTCAAATTTGTTACTTTATTTTTTCCTTTTATTGAAAATAGCTTTTTTTTCCTCACATAATATACTCTGATTACAGTTTCCCCTCTCTCTGCTTCTGTGTTCTTTACACCTCCCCTCCCATCCAAACCCACCCCCTTTCTGTCTCTCATTAGAAAATGAATAGGCTGCTAAGGGATAATAATAAGAAAAAGTATAGTATAATAAGAAACACAAAAGCTAACTCATCAGAATAGGACAAAACAAACAAGGAAAAGAGTCCAAGCAAAGGAACGTGAAACAGACAAAGAAGCAAAGACCCACTAATTTGCATACTCGGGAGTTCCTTAAAAAAATTAAACTGGAAGCCACAATATATTCACAAAATGCCTGCAGTGTAAAAAGAGACAAGGAAAAATATACAAATATTGTAAAATTAAAAAAAAAAAAGAAAACTAAAAAAAAAAAAAAAAAAAAAAAAAGGAAAGGAAAGGTCCTGACAGGACTTAAGGAAATGTTGTTGAGTTTGTTTTCTCGGCCATCTGCTGTGGGGCAAGCAGTGTACCCTTACGAATAGTTTGTTTCCTCAGTGAGACTCCCTTGAAGAAAATGAAATTTTCTTTTGCATGTGATTATCAGTTGGAGAGTGCTGCTGGGTTAGAGATGGAGGTGTGTGTTCACTTCTCCTTTCTGCTCTAGGATTCCATGAGTACAGACCAGGGCAGGCCCTGTGCATGCTGCCCCGGTCTCTGTGAGTTCTTAGGTGCGTTGATCCTGCTGACTTAGAGGGTCTTATTTTCTTGGTGTCCTCCATGCCCTCTGGCTCTTACACTCTCTCTGTCTCCTATTCCATAGAATACCCCGAGCCCTGAGGGGAGAAATGTGATAGAGACTTCCCTTTTAGTGCTGAGTGTTTCTTGTTCTATCATTCTGCATAGTGTCTGGCTGTGGGTCTCTGTATTTGTTCCTATCTGCAGCAGGAGGGAGCTTCTCTGATGATGGCTGAGCAAGGCTCTGATCTGTGATTGTAGCAGAATGTCATTAGGAGTCATTTTATTACTACTTTATTTTTATTTTTTAAATGAACAGTAGTCTTTGGTTTTTCTCTAGGCCCCTGGGCTTTCTGATCTCAGTTTTCCTCCCAGCACTTTCTGTAGGGCTGGGTTTTTTAATTAGTCTAGTTGATAAGCTGTGCTTTGAAACAGCAGTTACAGGTGGGACCAATAATCTGTTGGATCCATCCCTAGATTTTGATGAGCAAGCTGAATGAGTATAGGAGAACATTTGCTTTCTGTCCTCTCTGGTGGGGACATATATTCACAATTGTCCAAAGCACAGATGGAATTAGATCAGCATTCTCTCCCCTGTGTAAGGATGCTACCTGAGTTCCTGGTTTTCATTGTCAATTAGGCGTTGATAAACAACAACAAATAATCCCTAGTGACAGGCTTGTGAGGTTCATATGCAATAATTTGCAATAAGCACGTGGTACAAAACCAGGCTCAGAGTAAATGGCTACATCTTAAAGAAGTGCAGGTCGAAAGCTAACTTTACAGCCAAAGAATGAAAATTAAAAAAAAAAAAAAGATAAATAAGGACAGATACTCCAAAGATGACAGTCTTGGTCACCGATGGGACCGCAGTGTCCTTGCAAATGCTTTGGAGTGCTTCTCTGTTGCGGTGTAAGCCATAAAAGACAGAAGCTTATAAAAGAATTGACGTATGCTTAAGCAGTTTATGAAACAGTTAACGTACGTGTCGGCAAACAGTGTGACTCAATAGGACTAGTGGGCAAAGGTCGTGCCCACTTTCCCAGAAGCAAAATTGGAACTCTCTCATGAGTCAGAAAGCTTCAATGCCAATTCATGAAGTTGACAGAGACAAAGGTTGGTTATTTTACTCATCAATTTCTTTATTGCCCACAAAGCCATACAGATTAAAGGTAACAAAAAAATTTAAGTGGAAGGTTAGATGTTCAGTGCTTCTGACAGACATGTAATTAATTATTTTTAATCAAGCATATTCTGTATATACAAATCAAATTAGCTATCTTCAAGGAAACTACTTACGTTATTTTGTATTGAAGTGGTTATGGAGGTAAAATACTTCCTGACAAATTAATAATCTGAGTCTCACTTCTCCACGCTTTTGGTGCTGAAATATCTGAAGGATTTATTGTTTTCTTGTCACAAGTGGATGGGGGGGGAAAGCAGACATGGATTTAGAAGTAAATGAACTTTGTGTGGACCAATAAAAACTTTGCTGATATAATAACCCCTAATAACATAATAACATCTACCAGATTACTTTTCCCAGTTTCAGCCTGGTGTGTGCATGTGTATGGGTGTGTGTGTGTGTGTGTGTGTGTGTGTGTGTGTGTGTGTGTACATGTGTGTGTGTGTGCTCATATCTATGAGGAGGCCAGAAGACATTTTCAGTTTTTCCTTAGGTGCTATCTACCTGCCCATTTCTCTCATTGGCTTGAGGTTTACCAAGAATGCTGGGCAGGCTATTCAGTAAGCCCCAGCAATGCACCTATCTCTGCTCCCCTAGCACTCAGAGAAGTGTGTACCACACCACACCTAGCTTTGAAAAAGAAACGTGGATTCTGCAGGACCAAATTTAGGTCTTCACGCTTGCAAGAAAAGCACTTCACTGACTGAGCCATCTCCTCGGCCTCTCTGCCTGATTGTTTTCCCCATTATGTTAATATTTTGTATAATCTTGCATTATAAAGCCAATGGTACATTAAAGGATTTTACAAAATCATATGACTTTCAGCTCAGATTAAAAATATGAGCAAAAGACCCCTGAGTCTTCAACACTGGATTCTTTTGCTTTAGGGACCTAACCTGGATGCTCCTCAAGAGAGAGGTACTGGCTGTCTTCCAGGTTGAAGTCCCTGGAAGAAAGAAGCATGCTCGAGCCAGAGTGGGGCTTGAAAGAATGAAAATACGAATAGCTGTTGCCTAGATCTGGAGCAGTTTGGAGAGACAGAATACAATATGGCGGTTTGGAGCAGACAGATGGAGAGAGATGCTTTGGGGTGCAGCAGCTTGGAGGAGAGTTGCTGTTGATGGAGGTTGGTATATCCTCCAAAGGCCCATTGACCCTAAACCACTGGGGGAATTAGAGGGGTCTGTGATCCCTCTCCCCACTAACCTTCTCTCTAGGGTTGGACAAGAGATAGACGCCTAAGCACCCCAAATAAAATAGAGTTTAAAAAGGAACGCTACAGAGGGGAGACAAATAACACCAAGGATGTTTGAAAAAAGTCTTGATGAGTCCTTATTTTCTGTATATGTTAGGTGAAGTTATTTCACTTGAGCTGACAATGCTCCTTACAAGAGCCATAGACTAACAAAACTCAGTACCAGACATGAGAAACTGTTCAAGCTGTTAAGAATCGCACAGGATATTATGGGTTATTGCTTTCTTTTGACCTTAGTTGTCTCCCAGAAGTCGAAAGCTAGTCCCTATTGCTGAAGACACCACACAGATTTGCCTTAGGACTCAGAAGATTCAAGCTGGCTCTGACTCTAAATTCTCCTGAGTTCTAGCTTTCATGATACCATGGATGCTACATAAACAGCCAAGGGAGGGAAGCAATCAATTGCCTATAAACCATAACAATAAATAGCAGGGCAGGATCTCTCTAACGGTGCAGTAGTGGCAATCATGTCCTGTCAGTCACCAACAGATGTTTAACTGGACTCAAGGGCTTCTCAATAAGGAGGGAAATCAAGCCTGAAACTAGAAACCTAGAACTACCCGGTATTGGGGTGTTGGAAGGGATTGGGGTTGAGAAGGGAGGAAGAGGCATAAGAAGAGTAAATAAAATAGATTTGAAAAGTATGCCAACAAGTGGCACTCAGACATAGGGCTTGGAATAATAGAAATTCTGGGTTCTAATGCAGTAGAGGGTACAGCAGGGCACGGAGAAATGAATCTACTATTTCAGGAGATGAGTAAAAGGTTTATTGCGCCTGCTACCACTGGTTTCTCTCCTGCTTCACTCCCGGAGGGGCTTCTCTGGTTTTGCTTCTTCATCTTCCTGCATTCTGTTTTAAAGAAGTTTGGGAGAATAGTTGAACAACTGGAAAGGTTGCAATTTACAGGAGTTTGAGAAACAAACAAACAAAAAAGGATGAAATAGAAGGTTCACTAGTTTTAGAAAGGATTACAGAGTTGGCAGTACAGCTTGAGAATTTGTGCATAGAATTTGACATGCTTGGAGAGCAAAAGTGCCGTTGGTAAAGGTAGAACACCTGGTAACTAAGAGTCAGCATTTCCCACAATTGCTGACCTGTCTGCTCCATGCAGTTTTGGTGTCAAGTTCGCACAGCCCCTTCAGGAGGCAAGGGGCTGGGAGCAGCAGAAGGCCATAGAGGGTGAAGGGTTAAAGAGAAACAACTTATTTCAGGAAAAAAGGTTATTTCTTGAGCAAACTTTGATGCCAGAGGAGCAGCCTCGGGTTAGGAGATCACCACCACTAGCTTTCCCAGTAGCCACTACAGCCTTAGATATAAAAATGCTCTGTGCTTCAATTCCGGTAAGTTCGGTCATTTGAAAAGAAATTGTGACCAAGCCTCTAAAAGGTTCAGAGCTCAAAATGGCCAGTGTGTTAAATCTGAGAAAGACTGTACGTCCCGCCAGAGAAGTGAACGAGCCATTTCTGGCAGCACTAGGTTCTCAGCAAGAACTGGAGTTTGTAGATGGTTTGATAGAAGGGATCATTTGACTACTGAGTGTGTGTCCAAGAGAGACAGAGGAAGAAACTTACTGTCATTGAAAAACAGCTTTGGAGTCCTAGCTTGAGGCTCAGCACCAAAAAGTATGAGCTGTTCTGGACAAGAGCAGCTGAGAGTTACCAGGTTGTAGTAGAAACTACTGATCCAAAAAACGTTTGTTTCCTTGATCATCTTCCTTTTAAGAAAACAACAGCAATTCTCATTCATATTAAAAACAAAACGAAACAACAGAAAGGGGGAAATGTGGACATAAAAATGTTTTTGTTTTGATCCCAGGTACGGGGCATAGGACTGACTCAGATTATCCACAGCAGCAAACTATTCATTTGCCTGGTGCAGGCTCTTTGCCATCTGCAGACAGTTTGAATCTGAGGACTCTAAGAGGGAATAAATGTCAGAGCCCAGAGAGAGAAGGGGGCTCTAAGAAAGGCTGCTGATGCTCTCCTCCGGCTGCTCCTGGCTTCTGCGGATGCAGTGAGAGGAGAAGTTGGAGATATTCTGAAATGAAGATTGGAAGTGCCCCGAGGAACCCGACAGCTCTAACCAGCAGGAGATAGCTAAGAGAACTCTGCCCCCTCTTCCCACTAAGTTCCTTCTCTCCTACTCAGTATTGGGGTGTGGGAAGGGATTGAGGTGGAGTAGGGAAAAAGAGATATTAAGAAACCCAAAATAAAATAATATAAAAAGTAACACTAACACACCAGTACGTAACCTTGTTTAATGATACCTGTGTATGAGGAAATGGAATGACACAAGAAAATTAGTTATAAATGCAATAACAAGAGACGCTTGTCTGCATAGCTCAGCAAGTACTTAACAATGGTTGAGAAGGAACAAAAAAAAGTCTGTAAGACACCAGGAATAAATATAACGGGAGCACAGAAATTCAGATAATAACTACAAAATCTCTTGACCTACACAAAATGAGATCTGAATAAATGAAAATAAGTTAATCTTTAGTATAAAGCCAAGTTGCCTCAAATAATATGCAAACATGACGCAACTTCATAAAGCTTTGAACTATGTGAAACACTTCCATATGGAAGACAGAATTCTTAGAAAATAGTTCCGAAATGTATGAAAAGCAGTAGCTATTATTTTTGAGCAGCATCCTACGTACTTTGCATACATTTAACTTACTTCTCCATGTGAATTGTGTGTATGTGCATGCATTCGTGTGTACATGTGTGTGTGTGTGTGTGTGTGCGTGTGTGTGTGTGCAGGGGTTGGTGTCTGTGGACTCTTGCCTGCCACTGTGTACAAGTGGAAGTCAGAGGACAACCTTGGATGTTGGTTCTTGTCTTTAACCTTGTTTGAGCCAAGGTCTTTACATTCACCACCCACCTGAGGAGCTGTAGGATCTTGTCCTGTGTGGCTGTATCCAGCTTTGTGTGGATTCCCAGGATCTGAACTTGAGTCCTAGTGTGCACATAGCAAGCCCTTCACCCACCAAGCCATCTCCCCAGGCCCCTTTAATGTGTTTTTAAGTGTGTAATTTCACTTGCTGTGGTAAGCATGGGGCAACCGATGACTCGGAAGATCTTGGAGTTGGAAGAGACTGTAAGGATGTGGATTGTTGTCTTTCCTGCTGTGTTCAATGCAGCACACTTAAGTGAACATAAAATAAGCAAGCTCTCAGTGAGGAGATAAACTCATGACCCGTAACCGAACTCCTTAAGGTTAAGAACACAGTTAGGAGGCAGAGGCCATGGGTCGGGGAGTGCCGACTGAAGCTCTCACCGCTCCACATCCTAAAGAAATACCCCTGTGTTGAAAATACTTTGCACTGAACATTATCAAATGAATACACTTACCTATCCTCTGAGGGTTAGACATACAGGTTATTTCTTTTTTATTTTAAATTTTATTTATTCATTTTGCATCCCGGTCATAGCCTCTCCCTCTTCCCCTCCCAGTCCCTCTTTCCCCGACCCCCGTTTCTTCTATCCTCCACTCTTCAGAGAAGAGGAGTCCCCTCCCCCAATCCCAGCAATCAAGTCACATCAGGTTATTTCTAAGATAATGTGCAGCAAGTATCTTGGGGGAGGAGGGCTGTCATAAAAAAAAAATTTTTTTTTTAAGGTTAAATGTAATTCTAGCTACTTGGGAGACGGAGGCAGAAGAACGGAGAAGCCGAGGACATCTTGAATAACCCAGTGAGACCTCATATTTCAAAGGGGAAAGAAAAAGACTTTAGGGAAACAAATCCTTTCAAGACCAAAGGATAAGGGCAACAGAATCACAGATGTAGTAATGTCCCCCAGTGGACCAGTGTATCAGAAAACAAAAAACAAAAACACAACAGCAAGGAAATACAATGCTACGATACTTGTTTTTCAAAAGCAATATCATTTGTAACCATAAAGAATTATTTCTATTATTTTTGGTTCCATCAAAATTTCTAGGGTTACAATATTTTTTATAATGAAAAAATGGAATCAATAAACTTGAAATTCAAGTTTTTTTCAAATTCAAAGAACTTGTAAATAAGCAGAAGATAGGTGCACGATTACATATAACAGTTTTAGTTGGGTCAAAGATCTCTGGGTTAGAAAATTTTTAAAAAGTATAGATGGCAGACAAGAAAATTATGAGTGTTCTAAAATTATGAGTGGTTTAGATCCACTCTCAGGGAAATACCAACCATGTATGCAGGAATGACGAGAGGAGTAAAAGCTATCATCGTGGTGAAAGTAAAATTAATTATTAGGTCAAGTCAAGAAAAGTCCAACCTAAGCCTTCATTTAATTCATTAGGAATTCACTATTGTTCATTATTATTACTTCATTCATGAAGATATTCATATACTCAACACCAGGTCAGACAAAATAACATCTCTGAAGGGCTGATTCCTCATCTATAAAATGGGAACAAAAGAGAGCATTGCTTACTTTTTGCACAAGATACATCTGACATGTAACAGACAGTGGGTGTGAAGTTCTAGGCACCAGGGAAATACTTAGGAGTATCAGTTGTGTCAAGGTGCCCAGCTCAGTGCTGACCCCTTCAGCAAAGGGTGAGAATGAACTGTCACTACACCCTGCTGGCTGCCAGTTAACAATCAATAGCTCAGAGGACAGCGTGTTTTATCTAAGAAGATCTAGCACTTGTCAATGGTTTTTCATTTAATTATTGGGAGATCCCTAGCTGACCTCTGAGTTGGGGTGGCCTGTTGTACATCCATTAGCTCTTTCATGAGGCAGACCAGACTTGTGCCCAGCAGTAGCCATAAAGGCATCTTGCTAGCTGGTGAGCCACCCACTACCTGCATGTGAGATGGCAAGAAAACCTCCTCAAGTGCTTCCAGGCTTCTTGACAGAAGCTGTGAGGCGAGAGCTTTCCCAAGAGCACCTGGTAATGGTAACTCATGGTAACTATGATTCCTGGTGGCTAATGCTTCTTACGGGTGCTTGGAATAGCAACAAGATTCTCCAGACAGAAGGATGCTTTAAATAAGATTTTCTATAAAAAAGTACATTTGGGGATTTTTTTTGGTCTGCGCATTCAGTTCATGTAAATCTAAATTCAATTTAGACAAACTCCATGGACTTCTGGCATCTGATAGAGGAGGGAGACTCAGACACATGTCGCCATCCTTATGACAACTCATCAGCAGGGGAGTTCATTAACAGGAAGAGTTGTGGAAAGGGCTCTGTGGGCAAATGCAAATGCTGGTCTTGGCATCCCAGCCATCATTCATCTCTCCCTGCTGGAACCAAAGGCTTGACTAAAGAAGAACTTGCCTCATCTCAGTTGATTCCAGATCGAACTTAGTGTGAAGGAATCTGTTTTCGGTTTACACAGTCTGTTTAGGAAGCATGGGGACTATGACATCTGGAGGTGACCTGTTGTGTTCTGTTTCCATGCAGGATCATTTGTTGGCAGCTACTTTTCTGTCTTGGGAATCACAGTGTCTTAGCTCATTCTCCTTCTAGGCTGGAAGGCACAGAAGTGGCAATTGCTCCCACGGAGTGTATCCAGCGTTATGGAAATTCAACCAGTATGGTGAAGCCAAGCACCGCACTCGATCAACAGGCCCACAGTTGGGTCCAGCTCACCAGGACTGATAACTACCTCAGTTTGGGTCTTCTTTGAAGCAGAGCCTGGGGCAAGCATTTGCTTGTGGGAGATGGCCCTACAGAACCATGAGTATTTGGGAAACTGAGTCAGGGGAGGAGGAAAAGCTGACTCAGGAGTGTACTTTGGAGAGTTCCACATTAAGCAGCAGGTGCTAGATGTTTCCAGGACCTCTGCAAAGCTCACAGAACACTCTCTGAAATATCCTTCTGGAGGACTGATGGCCTCTCTCATTGTTTGGGACAGCCTGGGCACTTTGCAGCTCTGAGATCTTGGGCTTCTGCTTGCCCCTTGGTGAGGTGGAATTCAAAGAGACCATGAGATAAAATAAAAACAAATGAGGGGCGAGGGAAACGTCTAGAGATAAACATCTGTTCAGGAAACAAAGCATCTCTCCCCCAATACGAAGGATTGTTGGGCAGAAGACAATCAAGTTTAGGAGGCCACTCTGCCTTCTTGTGCCTGAACGTAGTACAGAGTTTCTTAGACATATTACACACACAAACACACACACACACACACACACACACACACACACACACACACACACA